CCCACAGCGAGGGTGGGGAACAAACACTACAATTCTCTACACCGCAGACCTTCTGCTCTCTAGATAGGCACTGCGAATCGACCAAGACGAAAACAAAACACATTTGCAGCAGGCGTGGGAAAGTCCTTGCAATCATAGCATCCAAGTTGCGGTGTGTGCTTTGAACTAAGATCCTTCGTTCCGGCAACATACACTTCAAGGTCAGTGTGCTGCAACATCCTTGCCACCCGCCACATGCTTCGTCTTTGCCGATCAAGGCACCTCGTCCCACTCCAAGTGGAGCCCTGCGATGGGCGTAGCTCAAGCAGAAAGTAGCGATTCGTGGTGCTGTCCACGACTGCTCGCTGAATGTCCAAGTAGGATATTCTTTTGCCTCAGCCATGGCCCCGGTGCTCCCTGCCATTGCCAAAAACGCTTTAGCTTCATCGGACAAAGCTCTGAGCAGTGCGACGCTTGGCATACTCTACTGTTTAACACACTTCTTCGGCTGTGTCAAGCTACCCCGTATTGCGAGCTGATTGCAACCAAAGCACGGTCTTCTATCAGCTTGCTCATCTCCTCGCATGCTCAAGCGATAAAGGGCTGGCAAAGGTTGGCTGGCAATCGCTCGGTAAAATATTATCCTCGTTACTACTATTATTACCATTATTACCTATTCTTACTATTATTGCTACGTATTCTTACTTTTACTACTCTTATTACCATGCGGTCTCAAGTAGCCAGGATGGAGCTTTGAGAGCCTTGCTTTAACAAGCAATTGCAAGATCCGGTCCCGGTTCACAAAGTAGATGAAGTGCTTGGAAATGCAAATGTTCGCCCGACGTTCTTCCTGACAGGCTGCAATCGCTGCACCTCCTTGCGCCTAAGAACAAGTCATGCCACATATGTCTAAAGTGGACCCCCCACCCAGTAATTAATAGTGACTATAAGGGATATTGGTGATTATGTTAGGTTCCCCTTATAATTCCTACTATACCACTATTACAGGGAGGTCCTCCTAACATGTGTCACGGAGCACCCGCAAGCCTTGTCATCAAAAACAATGACGACGCGCTCAAACATCTGCAAGGCATCCTTGCAGATGGACGCCAGGACGTCCAGAATAACCGGATCGGCTGACATGAGCTCGGCAAAGCTCCTTGCTTCGCAAGGAATACTGCGCTTGGATATGCTTGGATGCAAGCCTATGACGATGCGAACCTTTGCGTTACTTGACAGTGCAAATTTGGAAGCACGGACAGACATGAGGCAAAGGCAACCACGCACTTTGATAGACAGTAGACCAGAACAGCCGATCAGTCAGAAAGGCAGCGTGCAACAGACTACAAGCTTAGATTCAACCTTCGAGCTTGCCCCACTTGCATCCAGGTGTCAACTTGCGTGCCTAAAACGGCGCTCACAGCATGACAGGCGCACTGGCTGCATTAGCGGCATCGCGCCCACATTCCCTTGCACCCGAAAGCCCTTGTTGTAAGATCATGACCAACGTGCATAGGACCCTTTTTTGCGATGACATATGACAAGATGATCAAGATGTCGTGGGCTGAAGCACCATACATGTCACCAAAATCTTGCTTCTACCTTCGGCTTTAGCCCCCAACAGCTTTCAGCCACAGAAGGAACAAAAGCCGCGCTCCGAAGGTTGTAGCAGAATATGCAAGGACAATATTAGTCCAGTCCCGCTATCCATGCTCACCCCTTATCTCAGAGGTCCGAATTCTTCATCTAGCACCCACAAGCATGTTCTACTAAGCCCTAGGGTATACCCTACTTTTGTTGCTAACTAAGTAGTTTTTAGTCTCATATAGGCCGACCCGGCACCATCTTCAAGACCCCACGCGGCCAAGGCCCAAAGTTTTTCGCAGCCATCGGGCCACGGAAGGGGCGCTGCCACTGGCATGCCACGCAGCAGTGAGACAACAAGGCAACCGAGCAGCAAAAGCAAGCCAACAGCATCCGATCAAGGAAAAAGCATGGCAGAAGCCATACGAGCTATAGTCTAAACTCCTAGTGTCCCCCTTAATAACCCCTATGGTAGTTCCCTATATAATCCCCCTATATACCCCCCTTTAAGGAGTTTAGACTATAGCTCCATAAGCATGGCAGGAGAAAGGTGGGAGAAGGCCACAGCAAGGCAGGAGCAGGGAAGGAGCAGGACATTCACCAGGCAGGAGCCCCTAAACCCTGAAACCTAAACCTAAACCCTAAACCCTAAACCCTAACCCCCTGCATGCAATGATTTCAGAATAGTTCAGAAAACATATCAAGGCCTTTAGTCATTGCAACTTGCTTGTTTTATTGCCAGGCTAGTGGGGGAAGAGTCTGGAGAGGGTCAGCACGGTCCAGGATCTTCTCGCATGCTTCAACAGATTTAGCCTTGCTGTCATGATTTTGTACCCCTTTTTTGCCTGGAATCGCTTGGGGGAAGAACTTTGTATTCATACTGGAACAAAGTTTGCTGACGGTAAAGGGCCTAAAATTCTGCAATGCAGGGTCTTCAGCTTTGTCACAGAAACTTAGCACACCAAGCTTCCTGACTGCTCCTGCAAGCTGTTCCAAGGTTCCCCAATTTCAGACTCAGTCTTGGCATGACGCAATTGGGCAATGCACTGACCAAGAAGAGCTGCGGAAAAAAGGTCTGGCACGTGCACACCTTACACCTTTGCTAGAACATGTCGGCCGAACACCTGGTGCGCTTTCTCTTCATGCATTTTGTCACAGACAAACCCGCCCAAACCCTGTACATGCGCACCATTGTTAGAAAAAAACATGACCTGGAAGTTCATGGGAATCCAGAGGGCGTGCCCAAACAAAACACACAAAAAAAAAAATGCATGTGTGAAACAAACCGCAAGCATACCTTTGACCAATCGGGTTCAAAGAAAACTTGTTGAGTTTGCACTGCAACCGGCGAAGATGTCAAGCACAACTTACCCGCTCCAGCAGTACTGCTGCCCCTGCTTTGTGCAACACAGCAAGAAGCACCGTTTTTTCTCATGGCAGCGCCTGGGGACAAAGTCCAGTCGACACCGACTCTCCGAAAGCTTCAGAGGTTGGCACAATCTCCGCACGAATCTAGTCGGCCAGCCGCCAGAAGCCCCAGCAAGTGCCAGGACACTCAGAATACGGCCTGCAAAGGACCAGTCCGCACAGGTCACGCAGAGTTATGGGTCAAGAGCATCATATCGGCAACTCCGGTAAACTAAAAACTCTTCATTGTCGGCCCCAGGTGCGGTTCTAGATTAAACGCAACCTGCCCCACAAAACAGCACAGGAGTTTCCGTTGTCTTCTCCATTACCAGCTATTCAATCCCTATACTATCATCAAGGCCTTAACCTTGAACCCCTATGCTACCGCTGTATCACGCCTGTATTGCCCCTATATAAGCCCTCTATAACCCTAAACTATACCCTACTATAATGTAGTAGTTTCCATTTTCTGTTCTGTATAAATACCCCAGTATACTCCCTTGCCCCCTAAACGCTAAACCCTAGGTGTCACAGGACTTTTGGCTGATGCCTCTCGCATGCTCGGCACCGGCGGACGGCGAGCGAGGGACAGGCCTGGAAGCAATAAGAAATAACAACATTGATTTATGGGTTAAGGGTTTAGGGCTGAATGATGATCGTATAGGAAAGACAGTAAGAATAGCAATAACACGGTCATTACGACCATGAACATTATCATCATCATGATGACCATTGTAACTCACCATGATGATAGCAATAATGATAATAATGCCAGTAGTAATAATGGAAATATAGTAATAGTCATGTGGTACAGAGGCTCCAGCTGTGACCAGCAAAATCTGACCTGAGACTCGGCCAAAGGCAGTGGTTGAGCGCCCTGCTCCAACAACGTCTGCCAAGTATGCCAATCTTTCTTCCACCTGGCTTGAAAGTAGCAGGCAACATTCATGCGCCACTTTCTGGATGGCCTGTGCCAACTTCTTTCTCAGCGTGTTGCGCCGATTCTTTTTGCGTGTGCCCACCTTATGCTGCGCAGGACAACTTCAACAGAAAGCCGTTCACCCAGCAGGATGCAGCAAGTAAAATGAGCTACTGTCTAAACTCCTAGTATCCCCCTTAATAAGCCCTATAGTAGTCCCATAGATTATCCCCTATATAACCCCCTGTAAGGAGTTTAGACTATGGCTCAAATGACCCGAGCCCCCTAAACCCTAAACCCTTAACCCCAAACCCTAAGCCAGCCTCCTTGGCAAGGAACGACTGAAGAGCACCTCTCTGCCGCTGCAGCTCTTCTGCCTAGAAGGCACCAGCTCTGAGCATGTGAAGTATATTCTAAACTCCTTAAAGGGGGTTATATAGGGGATTATATAGGGGATTAGGGTTTAGGGTTTAGGGTTTAGGGTTTAGCTAAACGCCTTAAAGGGGGGTTATACAGGGGATTATCTATGGGACTACTATAGGGCTTATTAAGGGGGATACTAGGAGTTTGGACTATAGCTCATGTGGGGAAGGATGGGCAACTCCAAGAAAGTGCTCATGCTGCGCACAGTGAAGCTCTCGAGGAAGTGGTAGTAGATACCTGAGCTTGGACACATCTACAAAAAAACTGCCTGCAACCATCCTCCAGGCCTTTCATCTCCGAGTGCTCCGGGCACCAGTACCTGTCACCAATATAAATTTGGATCTTCTCCAGACTCCAAAGGATGTGGAATCCCAACTCAACCCTTTGCGCACTCACCCCTGCTGACGGTATCGCACTCGTCGCAAACCAGGACTAAGGCGCGGCCTTGTTCCGGGGGTACAGGCAGGATGATGGGCGACAAGCTGCCTTACTTACTGTCCTTGAGCGTCGGACAAACGGCGCAAACCCTACCACCATGGTGGGTATCCTGAGCACGCCCATGCGAGTAACTTGCATCAACCTATGCTTTGTAGGGCTCAGTACCGGCCTGGGCCACATGCTGACACGAAGCAATGCTTCGGCAGGGCTTCGTGACTTGAGTAGAGCAGTGCTCTGCTGAATCGTGCTTTAACGCGCTTCAAGTGCTGAGCCAACTCCAAACTCCCCGAATACCTCTGCTGTGCACGAACCAATAGCTCTGCCCAGCTACATGGCCGGTTGCGTTCCGCGAGAACGCGTGGCGTTGCGGCGCATGCTTACAATTACACTCCAGATCCTGCATGCTATCAGATATGCATGGACACACACGTAGTCGCACAAGCAGCGCTCCGTGTTGCGGACATGGGTGCACTGCGGCACCGAAGGCGTGACACAAGGGCAAGTAACGTGGGTTTTGGATGCGCGCTTCCAGTATGAGCTGCTGTATGACCGTGCATGAAACCCTGCATCCACCTCGAAAATCCACCATCACAATTCTCATCACAAGAAATTCCGAGCACAGCCCTCTGCAATCAGCCAGGCACAGTCTCAACAAGCAAGTCTACAACATACCAGAATGTACCTCAAGCTAGTTCAGCAGACCCTCCCACTACTGCAGCCATAGCCTGAGGCTCATAAACCTCAACACTCCTATACCAAGAAGCTCAGGGCATCGCCCAGGCGAGGGAGCACTCTGAACAGCGGCCGACGATCGAGCCGTTGCCCTGGCTCCCAGATTGCAAACAAATTCAACAGGCAAAGGGAGAATGTATAAAGCGTTCGAAGCTCCATGTGCATCATGCAGCGTGCCCGAATTCTGGCTGGCCGCGAAAACGTGGTCCCATAATATACCACAGCACAGTAGCTAGCCACAGCCAAGCATGACAGCGCACCGCGCGCATTCGCGCTCGTTTGTCGAAGACAAAATTCGCACCCTGGAAGTGGCCGCCGTCTGGAAACGCCTGGCTAACTGCGCACGAGCGCTCTTGAACACCAGTTCTGGCTTTGCATCAACTGTCAGCGAGCACCGATACTTGTTGATGCTTTCTGCAACTATGCCCATCACCACATTTGCAAAGAGCATTGGGCTTCAGCCTCCAGATAGCGGTGGATGCCGCCTTCAAGCTGAAACCTCAGACTGTCAGAAGGGCTTCCGGCAGAGCCGCCAAATCGACCAGCAAACTGAGAGCCAGACACGGGAGTGGAGCTGTCGCCCAGGTCTTCTTGGAGTCTCCGCCGAAGGTAGGCCGACGCCTGATTTGCTACTGATTCC